GAACCCCCCCCCCCCTTAGGAGCCCAGCGTCCTTGCTGGCACACCGCATCGTGTCCACCCCCTTTCGGGACTCAACATTTTCACTGACACATTGCCAGGTGTCTGGCTCTGATACTATTTGTAACAACTTAAGCCTACAGCTAGCCGATATTGTCCACTTTGGCCCGTTACGTATCGTTGTCAGCCTCACGGTTTTTAAAACACGTCTGCTAGGGAGAGGTTTCCACACCCTTATAAAGAGCAAGGGTCATACCTACTCACAGTTCTCTACCACAAAGCGTCTAGCTCCATGAAGAATCGCCATATAACTATTTAGCCGAAATGACCTAGCTACCCTCTTGAGACTCTTACTCAGAGATTGGATTTCAAAATACTATTTTCTACACAGCCACCTACACCTAGATTCTGAATGCACAACTATGAAATGACCTGAAGGTCACCCACATAGATTCAGGACATGGATACAACATGGACATAAGCCAAAACAACATACTATATCTTGAAAATTCTAATAGTGACACCATGAAACTCGCCAGGACACATTTAATAAAGTATTATTTTTATACGCACAATAAAGATTCCAAACATGATGAGTTATATATCGTAAAAAACTGTATGTACAATTTCGCCTTTACATCTGTTAAGTTTCAAGCAAATATATAACTTGCAGAATAAATTATATTCCTCGATGAACTCTTTTCCAACAATAAAATAAAATCAAGTATTCCACAAAAAATCACGAGCTTAATAAAAGAAAATGAGCATCTCAAACTTTTATACATCACTTTCAGATCATTTGTTCTACTGAGAAATAAAGCTTTCATTGAAAAAAAAAATGAATGAATAGAAATAGCATACAAAAAATAAAGTCCCACCCAAAAGGAGCCAAACTTGTCAATTCCACATCTTACCACATCAAGCTAGTAAATTTTATCAAGTGAAATCTATTTTTTCTCTTTTCTTTCTTTCGTTAAATTTATATGTATCTTTAAGCTTTCTATTCATTTATACATCAATTTTTATGAAAACCTATCCATTCTTCACATAAATTTTCTGTTTCTACCAAACTACATCCCTCACATATGCTAAACCCAATGTGTCCAAGATTTCAAAAAAATAATAAAACAATCAAACACTTCACATCATGTGTTCTAAAATATGTGTAGTGTGTTTATGTCAGAAATCAAATTTCACTCTCCCTCAATGTCCACGCCCACTTTTTTCTTATTTTCTTTCATCTGTTTCTTTTTTCTTTCTTTATTTTTTATTTTTTATTTTTTTGGCAGGGGCAAAGGGAGAAATTATAAACTTATAAGAACCGAACTAATGTTCTTTGATTCATAGTAATCAATTTAAATTCCAGCTGAGGTACTGATGTTACGGTCTAATCACAAAAATGAGTCCAAAGTTCAATGGTCCCTCACTTGCATGAATACTATTAGAAAAAAAGTACCATAGGTCACCCAAGGTTTAAAATAAAAGTTTCACGTCTAAGGCTATAACCTAATTGCACACCACTGAGAGAAAAACTCATGCAAAAAGAAAGGAAGAAAAGTTTTACATTTCTTAAGATAGAAGGGCTTTTTCCCATGCTTGGCTGCTTCTCTCTCTTTCTTTTTATGATTGGCCAGAATTGCAGCATCTACACGCTTTGTGGAGTCCGATTTGAATTGCTTGTCCTGAAATTAAATTAAAAAAAGTTATCTAAAATCTAAACAAAACAAACCAATATACACAATTAATAAGATTATGATCATACATAACTTCGTAATGACATAGTAAACTCATTCTGATTTTTCTACCATTTTTATAATTAAGGACCATAAAACATGTTTCCGTATGTCGTCGTATAAATAAACAGACTTGATATGCAACTCATTATAAATGAATCAAAATAATAATACTTACAATCCAAGACAGTTGTTTCTTTAATTCTTCAACAACGTTTGAATCACTGGCTTTCCTTAACTGCTTTTTCAGTTCCTGTTGTATCAGTGAAAGTCGCAATACACAAAATGGCATCCAAGTTAATAGAATTTAAAATCTAAAAATGAGAAATCATATCAATACGGTAATATATGAAGGGAACAGAAAAAGAAGTAGACCTCTTTTTCAGCTGGAAGATTATTCTCATAAATGAAACTATATCTCTTCTTAAATCTGAAGATTCAAAGAAACATAAAACAAACAATGTCAATTTCAAACAAAGAAGAAAGATAATTACAAAAATACCATGAACAAAAATTTAACACGCCTTTTTTTTTTTGTTGTTGGTACAACATGCCAAAGAGTTCATCAATTCTCATATCAAGAAAAACTCACCCCTCAACATCAAGAGAGCCGGTTAGAGACTCAAAACGTGGATCACGTACCATCTGAAAACCGACAAATAATCAATGAAACAAACTCCACACATGTGTAAGTGCAGACAGAGATGTAACTATTTTTTAAGGTTTCGATAGAACTCCATAACAGGAGGTGTGACTCTCATAATCATTCAGTAAATTTGGCTCCATACAAACAATGAAAATGCCATAGATTTGGATACTAAACTAACAAAAAAGGAATAACCAACTCACGTTTTTAGGAGCCTGAATGACCTCTCTAAACCTACCAACTGGTTTCTTGCTGCTAACCTCCATTGGCCTTCACAAAGAAATTACAGTCATAATCTCCATTTACTAGCAAACAAATAAATTAAGGAAAAAAAAGTACCTATAAGCTACCTGTTCTTGTTTGCTCGCCTGCCTTTCTTCTCTTGGTTGGTCTTTTGGTACATCGAGTGTGATCCATCAGACCGTACTCTCTGTAACTCCTCAAAAGTCACATCTGCAAGTTCACGCTCTATATTCTCTTCTTCCTATACGAATACAGTGAAGTCAATATTGCAAATAAAAATGTAACATAAACATAAATTTAACTGCTAAAAAATACCGAGTCAAGAGATTCTTCTGAGGAAGAATATTCAAGATCTTCTCTTTCATCCTCCATCATTTGTTTACTAGAGCTAGGAACCGAACTACAATGTTTCTTCATTTCAGTTGCGAGATTGAAAATATTGGCCCTAAATCATAAACGTTTGTTCAAATTCCAACTTATAAACAAATCGAAAACTCCCAGTAAAATAAATTTCACAAAATAGTATTTACTCATTGGATGGAAACTTAAATTCTTGAGGGTTTTCAACGTAAGGAAAAAAATCGCTTTCAGCAACAATATGAGTAAATTTACTATTAGATATAGAGACCAATCTAACCTATTCTCGCTGGAATGCGATTCGATTTAGACACTAATATTACTATTACAATAATACATTTGAAAGAACATATAAATCAAGTGATACATGCAATAAACTGGAGAAGAAAAGACGTGATTCTAATGATTCCATATCTTCTTTATACAAAGAACTACAAAGAGAACCCGCATCTAAATAAATGACTGAACTCAAAGGGAAACCAGCTGTGGTAAGAGAAGTGGAGGGAAACGTTGATAAAACTTAAGCCAAAAAAAAAAAAAAGGAATGAGAAGGGAAGTTCAACTGTTCAAGCAGGTAGACTGGGAGAGAGTGAATGCGCTTTCATTAGAACTGAGTTGAAATAAAGAAAGTACTGAAGGATATCATTATTGAGGATTGAGCCTTAGATCCTTACTAAAGACCTTAATCAAATGTAACTTGCTATTTCTAGGGCTATTGACAATGCATTGTAAACATTCACCACCACAACGAAGAAACCACTTCCTCGGATCTCTAAGTTACTACAGATGTTACTGAACCGAGAATCCTAAAAGAACCAGAAACAACGTTAGCCAAATTCTAAACTACATCAACCAAATAGATCCTAAAGGACTATCAGCGAGATTTTACTGCCTAAAACGGAAACGAATCGGTCATTGCTGGTACCGACTGGAATGCGTTCGTTGTCGCAGAACTTACCTCTATGGAGTTAGGTATGCCGTCCTCGAAGTGTGTCGCAGGAATGGTGTCTGTCGATCAGATGAGGGAGCTGCACCGCCGTTGCCTTGCGCCGGAGTGGGTGTCGTCGCCGTACCGTGGGTCACGCCGGCGTCAAAAAAGGAAGAGAAAGAGGAACCGGTACTGCTGAACGTGATGAGAAAAAGAGGAGGATGAAGGAAAAAGAGAGGAGTGGTCAAAACCCTAATTTTGACCGTTTTGGATTAATTTTGAGAGAATTTTTGTTTAAAATATTTAGTGAATAAAGCCTTTTATAATATTATTTAATTTTCCAGGATTAAATATTGTTATTATTTATTTATTTTTATTACGTCAAAAAAATAAAATAATCTTATTAAATTTTTATTTATTAATAAGTATATTATGATGCCTCAAATTTTAGATTTTTAATTTATTTAGATTTTTTTTATAATTATATTAACTTTTAATAGTAAATAATTAATACATTTACATTTCAAAAATTAAATACCTGAATAAATTGAGAATTAATTATTATGATTAATTTAATTTTATTATATAAAATTAATTGATTTTAAATTATCAAATAATATTTTAAATTAAAATTTTTAGTTATAATTAAAAAAAAAATTAAACACTTCTACATCTTTACTAGATTATTTAATTGAATAAACTTAACTTATTTTATTATTAGGTAATTATATTAATGTTTTCAACAAAAATAGTTAATAGTTTAAATAAATAATATATTATGTTAAGTAAAAATAATTTTATTCATATTAATTTATAATAATTTATTAATTTATTATATAAAAATTATTATATTGTTACCTATTATAAATTTAATTTAAACATATTTATAAACATTAAAAATAAATAAAGAATATAAAGAAAGAAAAAAAAAATATAAAATGACATAAAAAAAACTAAGGAGAGAGAAAATTTTAACTCACATTCTTTTGGGCGTTCTCGGAAGCCGAGGAGCAGCTAAACTAAACAACTTGTTGGGAAGTATAAATTTTTTTTTCACGAGACAAGCTCATGCATAATCTTTTCCATTCCTTTTCTCATTTCTCATGAACCAAAAAAGGCGCTAAAACTTTAGTTCGACCGATGACGTTGTTTAATCTCCTCTGATTTTGATTCAATTTATTAGGTTACATGTACATTTATAGAAATCAACTCGAGGAGTTGTTTGGTGTAATCGTAACGACGCTATTTTTTTTTATTGAAATACAGTGCTACTACATGCATGACATGACGGTTAACTGTGGAAACATTCCTTTAGAACATTTAAAAAACGATATCAAATCAATCCAAAAACATATAAGAAACGGGAATAAACAATAAAATAAAAAACTAGAAGACAAAACATTGTCTTAATCTAACCTAGGACTACAAAATAAGATGTAATGCAACTACCCTAACACCGGTTCCATGGTCTTCATGCATCGCCTTCTTCATCTGTATAGAATGTCTTATCTTTATCTAAAATGTAGGAGTAACACATGAGTTAGAGTATTTTAAGAAATATTCAGTAAGTGGTCCCACTATTCGAGGTTGTGAAATGTAAGGACATGAAACATGGTGGGACCTATCATTTAAAACATCATTTCATTCTCTTAGGCGGCTTTGTAGTCCTGGATAAATTGAATGTGTAGTACTGCTCTGGCGAACTGTTGCTGGACACCTGAAGGGAATAGTGGTCGTTGTATCATCGTAGTGAAGATAATGGTCGTAATCAGTTTCATAGTGTACACGTTCGTATTCATCATAGTGGGGAAGTACCCCAATACACGTGAATACACAGTTATGCACGAGGTCTCCATACTTACCCCAATACACGTGAATACACAGTTATGCACGAGGTCTCCATACTTACCCCAATACACGTGAATACACAGTTATGCACGAGGTCTCCATACTTTCGTCTCCATACTTTCCAACATGACATAATAAATTATGCAAGACAACCGCCGTTCTTTCATAATATATTATGTCATAATACAACATTTAAATTGAGAAGTGGGAGTTGACCTCCACATTTCAACAAAAGACCCACACCCAAGTTCCATAGTTTTGGATCCGCTATCCCGATCATGATTTTCCTACCCCAGATGGAAAAGTCCTTCCCTTTCTGGCCGGTTCTGGGCGAGGAGGGATTCGAACCTTCGACACCATGGTTCGTAGCCACGTGCTCTAATCCTCTAAGCTACAGGACCCATCTCATCTCCACTGGATCTATTCCTGGGGGTACCCTAAAAAAAGGAACCGGGGAGGTCCCTTACTCCATTATCTTTTAAATATTTAATTACCTATTTCAAAATTTTATTTCAAATAAATTAATCATTTTAGGAGCTAATAAGAGACTTTATAAACCTAAAGATTACGAGCTCGAATGATACAAAATTAATTAATAAATCAATTTTAATTCATTAAGTATCGTTCAGACCTAGAGTTGTAATCTTATGCTATGTATAACAAGCTGCGTGCAATCAATTATTATAAGCAAGAACCCGACTTACGATATTACCTGACCGGAACTTGAACAACAATTGAGTCAAAAGTATATTCCCGTGTTCCAAATATTCTAACTTGACCCACTACACGATCCCAAACCAACAAGATTCAATAAACATTCATTATTCACCTATAAAATTGGATAGACTCGGTTCAACCTTCACTCCATGTGTTACAAGCTGATTCGATTGAGGAATGACAACTTTAGGAGCGAATATTTGCACGACTGAAGCGGTTGTTATAAATAACAATTTATTTGAAAACTTTATTTATTATTTTAATTATATAATTATTGTAGCGGGAAAATAGTGAGAAGTTACTTGTCAAAATGAGCATAATTTATTTTTTAGTGGACATTTGAAGTGTACGGGAGAGTAATTTATCGATCATGATCACTAATTTTTTTCAGTGGGCATTTGAAGAATTAAAAGTTTAGATAAATTCTGACATTTGAAAAGCGAATTCTCTTTCCAACGGACTTGCGATTGTGCGATACTTACTTTCCAACGACAAGTGAGCTAAGCCAATTCGTTCTTGCGTTGCTTACGGCTAAACGATGTATTCTCGAGCCTTTGACCTCGATTTTAGAGAAGGTTTTAGAAAACGAGGGCATAGAGATTTTCGAAGGAGAGTTCTTAAGTTGAGACTTTCTGACATTTCTAAGTTTCAAGCAATTCTTGTGGTAAATTGTATCGAGTCATTCAATCAAATCTAGATCAAGTTCGATGGTAGAGTAACTCAATTTAAAATAAAGTTCCAAATCTTGCTTATAAATATCTGATCTTAAAGAATTAATTTAATTCTATCCTTATTTATTGGTTGATACGAATTTTATATTAGAATAGATTAATTTAGGATTAAAATTTTCTTATATTACATTATTTTTTACTATTAACAAAATTAACAAAATTACATATTTTTAGTTTTAAAATTTGGTTCGAACTTTTGTAAATCTAAATCCGAAATATAGTTTTTTTAGAGATTTGCGGCTGAAATACAGACGCCATTATAAATCGACGCGGCAAAATCAAAGCTATAACGAGGTTGAGAAGGTCAATTGGCTCTCTGACTTCACCATCCTTCCCTTTTCCTTTTGCCGTTTGAAAATTTGGCTTTCCGATTTGCATCTGAACTTGCAGACCAATCATGTCCGGAAGATCATCAAATCGCTGCACCCTTTACGTAGGTATGTTTATTGTTGTCTCAATCCGTCTTTATTCGTGTTTTCTCTACCCTAATTCGTTGAACTTTTTCGTTTGCGTTTTAATCTTGATGTTGTTACTTCCGTGAAGTTTTGTGTGGTTGATTTATAAGAATTGTGTTTAATTTAATCATATTTGTTGATTCTCTCGCGGAGCTCTGTTTAGATTTTTAATGGCGGGTTCATACTTGAACAGAAAGAATTTGATTGTTTGCTGGATTTCTTCCTCCTCAACTTTTTTCTTCTGTTGGAACTATGTTTGATTTCTGTTTATATTGGCTTACTAGATTTGCAGCCTCTGGGTGGCGAGGGTTGGAAGTTGAACGTTAGATCTCTTAGATTATCTTCGTGTTTTTTGCTTATCTGGTTCATATTCAGGATGGTTGGGAGAGGCCCACGTTGGCTAATTTAGAGGATGATCATGAGTTTAGAAGTAAGGAATACTATCTCCATTGGTATGAGGTATTTTGGAGAAGCCCAAAGCAAATCCTGAGAGCATATGCTCAAAGTGGACAATATCATACCATTTTGGAGATATGTGATTCTTAACATGGTATTAGAGCCATCCCTTAATTTAGCTATGTCAATAGAATCCTCAAGTGTCGAACAAATAAATTGCTAGCCTCAAAGGTGTAGTCAAAAGTGACTCATATATTGAAAAAAGGGTGTACTTTGTTCGAGGGGCTCTAGAGAAAAGAGTCGAGTCTCGATTAAGGGGAGGCTGTTCGAGGGCTACATACATAGACCTCAGGGGAGGCTTTATGGTGTACTTTATTTGAGGGGAGAATTGTTGGGAGAGAATACATCTCCATTGGTACGAGGCCTTTTGGGGAAGCCCAAAGCAAAGCCATGAGAGCTTATACTCAAAGTGGGCAATATCATACTATTGTGGATATCCGTGATTCCTAACATGGTATTAGAGCAATGCCCTTAATTTAGCCACGTCAATAGAATCCTCAAGTGTCGAATAAAGAAATTGCTAGCCTCGAAGGTATAGTCAAAAGTGACTCATGTGTCGAACAAAGGGTGTACTTTGTTTGAGGACTACAGAGAAAGGAGTCGAGCTTCAATTAAGGGGAGACTGATCGAGGGCTACATAGACTTCAGGGGAGGCTCGATGGTGTATTTTGTTCGAGGGAATTGTTGGGAGAGAGTCCCACATTGGCCAATTAGAGGATGATCATGGGTTTTAAGTAAGGAATATATCTCCATTGATATGAGGCCCTTTGAGAAAGCCTAAAGCAAAGTCACGAGGGCATATGCTCAAAATGGATAATGTCATACCTTCGTGGAGATATGTGATTCCTAACAGTTGAATCCTAATTTTCACTTTCCCCATCATCTTTGATCTGCATATGTAGGCTTCTGAGTCTGATTTTGTTACTTTCTCCACTTTCTGTAGGTAATTTGGATGAAAGGGTAAGCGACAAGGTTCTTTATGACATTCTAATCCAAGCTGGGCGGGTAGTCGACTTGCACATTCCTCGGGACAAGGAATCTGGCAAACCCAAGGGTTTTGCTTTTGCAGAATATGAAAATGAGGACATTACCAACTATGCTATTAAGCTTTTCTCTGGTCTCGTGACTCTTCATAATCGTACCCTGAAGTTTGCAGTATGTAACTTTTTTCTTTCTCAACGCAAATTCTTCATTGTTTCTTTTTTATTGGTTTTTCTTGATCAACTCTGTTTCCTCTATTTTATGCGTTTTGATTCGTAACTCACTTTTGGATATAGATCTTACTGGTCTTTTAAGATGTGCGGTGCATTTGAAATTTTAGTTTTAATTGACTTGTAATATTTTCCTTCATAGGCTTTATGTAGTATCTTGCTAACTTCTTTGAAGCTTTAAAAATTACATTCCAATTATATGATTTCATTCTTGTTATTTACAAAACTAGTTTGCATTAGAAGCAACCTTGTTATCATAATTAATTGACGGGAAGAACCAAGATATTCATGGATCATGATGAATTTAATCTAGTTTACTTTATATTACTAGAATTTTGATATGACTTGGTTGGAGAACCATTGGCTTTCCAATTTTAGAGGACGAACACAAGCGTTGGTACATTATTGAAAAAAAAAGAAAAAAGAAAAAGAAAAAATGGAAGATATAAATTACTCTCTTCACTACAATTACTGATGACTTTGGTGAATAGGCTAGGTTTTTAGGTTCTTGGGCATGAAGATAAGGTTTGCAAGCTAAGAAGTCTTTCTTTATATGACTTGAAACTTTCTTCCCAAGAGTGGTACCTTAAGTTTCATCAAGCTATTAGCGATATGGGATTTCGAATGAATTTCGACGATCATTGTCTTGAAACTCGAATAATGGATGGTGAGATTAGAATATTGTCAAACTATGTTTATGATATCCTTATTGCCGGAAATTCCTTGTTTGCCATAAATCGAACTCAAAATTGCTCAAGTGGGCTGTTGGGCGTAATCGTAAGAAACACTTTTCATTTCATCCCTGTAGTTCCGCTTCTTGCTCGAAAAATGAAGAAAGACTTGTCAGAAATCACCGGTTGGGTTGGTCCAACCAAGAAAGGGATGAGAGTCTGGGGGCAAACAGAAAAGCATATTGAAGTTTGGAGAATTAAGTTAGATACTAAAACATTATTAGAAAACCAAAACAAGTTTAAATATATAATTTCATATATTAAAAATAATCTTTTAATCTGATTTTGGAAAAAATAGGAACAATATAAGAAGAACAAGATAGTTACATAAAGATTCCTTTTCCAATCGTATATTTATTATCGATGATTTCATTTGATATATGACTGTAGTGTGAAGTCTCATACTTCCAATTGTATTATCAGATGAGTGTGCAATCTTCTTGTATCAGTTTTGATTGTGTGGGGAGTGATTAAGTTATGGGAATGACTTAGCTTTTGACTTTGTTCAAACAGGTATCTGGGCAAGACAAGCCTTCACCCAGTTCATCATCAAATATATCTCATAAATCGAGGTCACATATTGTTTCAGATTACTCCAATGAAACATCTCAGTATTCGAATCGCTTGTCAACGTCGTGCAGGTTTTCAGCGTACCCTGAGAACCATCGAGAAGGTGATTTTCCTTTATTTTTGTATTTTCTTAGTTAGTTTTGCTAAGGAATTGTGTGTTTTTTTTTTTACTTTCTTGGTCTTTCCCACATGGGTTAAACAAATTTTTATTTCTTTTATTCAGCTCTTCTTCACCCTGGTTTAGTTAACCAATATAATGGGTATGGATTTCATTTGGATAACTATAATAACGAGCACAGTCAGCGATATTCTAGGACAACTTTGGATAGCTTTTACCAAACTAAATCACGTCGCCATGATACGAGTTATCCAGTATACTATCCTCCTCACGAACTTTTGAACTAAGGCAGCTAGTACCTTCCATTTTGGTTAATCTCAAGTGTAATTTAAGTTGTAGGCAAAGTTGGTTCTCTTAGATGGATGCAGAAGGGTTAATGGAAAATGATATGATATTTTTTGCTATGGAGCATGCTGGTCTATGTTATTCAATACAGTCATTTTGTTTGTGCACGTGTGCATATGATTTGGCTGTCGTTATAGTCAATACACTAATTGAAAATTAAAATATTGTAATCGATGTTATTAAAATTTCAGAATTTCTTTAATTCCTGTTTAATATTATGAAAGTATAAATGATTCTTTTCCCGGTGGCTGAAAGTAATAGCTTTTTGTTTGTGTATGTTGAGTATTTACTTTTTTCTGAAGTGTTTTACTTGAGCCAATGTATAAATATATCAACTTGACACTGGCTGAGATTTCAGTGAAGTGGAAGCTAAGCTACTTGTACCCCAGGCATTTTGGTTTGAGTTTATTGTCATTTCTGCCTTTGGGCATTCCTAAACTGAAGCATTTTGGTTTGAGTTTATTGTCATTTCTGCCTTTGGCATTCCTAAACTGAAGTACTTGGTAGGTTAAAATTAAGATATCATGGCCTGTCATTGCCTGCCCCCTCAATATAATGAACAAAAGAATCTAGACAAAGACACATTTGCTGAAAAAAAAAAAAATTAATGCCAAAGTTCCAAAATGAGAATTGACACTGGCCTGGCCAGTCCCACTGCTAGCAGATATTGTCTTCTTTGAGCTTTTCCTTTCGGGTTTCCCCTCAAGGTTTTTAAAACATGTCTGCTAGGGATAGGTTTTCACACACTTATAAAGAATGTTTTGTTCTCCTTCCCTATTGATGTAGGATCTCACAATCCACTCCCCTACGGGGCCCAGCGTCCTCGCTAACACTCGTTCCCTTCTCCAATCGTTGTGGGACCCCCCAATCAACCTCTCTTTTGGGCCCACGTCTTTGTTGACACATTCTTCGTGTCCACCCCCTTTGGGGCTCAGCCTGTCACATCGCCCGGTGTCTAGCTCTAATACCATTTGTAACGGCCCAAGCCTATCGCTAGCCGATATCGCCCGGTGTCTAGCTCTAATACCATTTATTGTCGAGGATTATTGGAGGGGAGTCCCACGTTGGTTAATTTAGGGAATGATCATGAGTTTATGAGTAAGGAATACATCTCCATTGGTATGAGGTCTTTTGGGAAGTTCAAAGCATAGCTATGAGAGCTTATGCTCAAAGTGGACAATATCATATTATTGTGGGGATCCGTGATTCCAAATATGGTATCAGACCCATGCCATTAACTTAGCTATGTCCATAGAATCCTCAAATGTCGAACAAAGAAGTTGTGAGCCTCGAAGATGTAGTAAAAAATGACTCAAGTGTCGAACAAAGGGTGTACTTTGTTCGGAGAAGGAGTCGAGTCTCGATTAAAGGGTGGCTGTTCGAGGGCTCCATAGGCCTCGAGGGAGCTCTATAGTGTACTTTGTTTGAAGGGAAGATTGTTGGGAAGGAGTCCATCATGAGTTTATAATTAAGGAATACATCTCCATTGTTACGAGGACTTTTGGGGAAGCAAACCAAAACCATAAGAGCTTATGCTCAAAGTGGATAATATCATACCATTGTGGAGATTCGTGATTCTAAACATGGTATTAGAGCCATGCTCTTAACATAGCCATGTCCATAAAATCCTCAAATGTCAAACAAAGAAGTTGTGAGTCTCAAAGGTCTAGTCAAAAGTGACTCAAGTGTCGAACAAAGAGGTCGTACTTTGTTCAAGTTCTCTAGAGAAGAAGTCGAGCCTTAGTGAAGAGGAGACTATTCGAGGGCTCCATAGGCCTCAGGAGAGGCTCTATAGTGTTACTTTGTTCGAGAGGAGGTTTGTTGGGTGGGAGTCGCACATTGACTAATTTAGGGAATGATCATGAAATTTATAAGTAAGGAATACGTCTCCATTGGTATGAGACCTTTTGAGGAAGCCCAAAGCAAAGCCTTGAGAGCTTATGCTTCAAAGCTCTCAAAGTGAACAATATCATACCATTGTGAAGATCCGTGATTCACAACACATATATATAGTTTTGAATAAGAGTGGGCGGTGGAGACTCGTGGTAATCGGATGAAAATATGGAGCTTGGAAATGAATGGTGAAATATCATGTGGTTTCTTGTCTAAAGAGGATTACATTTCTAGCATATTCCCCATACTTGTAATTAGAAATGCTTTTCCTACAGTAGAAACAGGAGGGCTATGCTCGTTGTGAAATTACAAAGGAAATCTCGAGCTCATATTCATCGTGAGTTCAAGATGCTTGTTCATGGGCATGGGCAAAACCTTTTGAAAAGCTGGGAATTGAGATACTATCTTTTTTTTTTTTTTTTTTAATGTGAATACATTGAAATGTAACGATAAACATGTGCGTGTTTTGTTCCAGAGTGGCTGCCCCGCCCATGGGTCGGGATGGAGAAGTCTTTCCTTTTGTCGGGAGAGAATTTTCTCCGTTATTATTTTTATAAAAAATAATCATTTTTAAAAAACTTTTTAATGTATATTTTTTTATTTTTCAATAGAAACTGTTAATGGGTTAACTGACTCTTGTTATTAGAAATTGGATATGTATTTTAAAATTATTATTTGTTGATCCAATCATTGTTTACCCAAGTAAACAAAATATAAAATTAATAAATTAATGGGTGAATCAATAGTTATAGTTATGCAACCAAAAAACAATGAATCCAAAGGTCAAAAACATCATTTGTTTTTTTACAAAAATCAAACAAATGAAAAAGAAATATTTAAACAAATTAAATCAAGATGTTAAATTTTAGAAATATTTTTTAAATTTTAAATCAAAATTTACAAAACAAAAAGAAATAGTTCAAATATCATCACTAACTAACTTAAGACGGTCAAGCCTAACAATTATAAGAGTTCTTTAGTTCTTTGTCTGTAAGGAAAATGATTGAGGTACTTAAAAAGAAAAAAAAAAAAACATTTTGGTACTTTAAGAATAAATGATTTGTTATTTTAAGAATAAATGATTAGATAATTAGTAAATTATCCAGTCCCTCTATTTTAAGAATAAATGATTAGATAATTAGTAAATTATCTAGTCCCTCTATTTTAAGAATAAATGATTAGATATTTAGTAAATTATCCAGTCGCTCCTATAAATACCCTTCACCCTAACAAGGTTTTCATACCAAGAAATTACAAGTACAACTAGTTTCTATAGATGGTCTTGCAATATATTCTTGATTGGTCTTAATAAAGAGTGAGAGTGTTTCCCACGAAGAGTTGTGTTCAGCAATCTGGTATCTGAGCGAAGTTGGTGTAGGTTGTTTGATCTCTTGAAATTCTTACTATGCTATGTGGTTGCAACTCTATCTGATCTTCCACATCAATTTTTGAGATTATTAGTGAGTGAGTTTCTTTGTATCTTGAGTAATCCATGACTCTGTAAGTTTTGAGTCGAAAAGACTTATTTGGTATTATTGAGGTATAACCAACGTGATGGGTGATTTCCAAATCGTTGGAGAAATTAAGAAACTCAACAACAATTACAACACGTGGGCAACATGCATGATATCCTATCTGCTAAGATGATACCTTTGGGAGGTCGTTGGTGGGAATGAAACTGAAGAGGATTCTAATGGCACCTTGCGTAAATGGAGAATCAAAACAGACAAAACAATGTTTGTCTTGAAGACCACAACTGCAGAAGAGATGTTTGAGCACATTTGGGATGACAAGACACCGAAAGAAGCATGAGACACGTTGGTGATGCTGGTCTCAAAGAAGAACGATACGAGACTACAACTTTTAGAGAATGAGTTGTTATCAATTTCACAACATGACATGCCTATTGCTTAGTACTTCGATAGGGTCAAGTTGATCTATTGGGAGATTATTAAACTAGATCCGAAGTTTGTTATTGGAGAAACTCGAATGAAGAGAGGATCATTATCCATGGATTGCGACAGAATATAGAAATTTTGTTATTGATGTATAAGGATGACATGCTCAACCATCATTTGTAGAGTTTAAAAATTTGTTAGCGAGCCAAAAGGACATGACTAAGCAAATGGGAGATATCACATTAAAGTGTGAAGAAGAAGCACTCTATACAAGTGAAAGTCGGAGTAACAATAAGTCATTTACCAAACGTGGATACATAAATGGTGACAAAGGAAGAAGTCACCAAGGAACTGCACAACCTTGAAGAGCTTAGAAGAACGACAACAAGAGTTCTCAAGGAAATAGATTTGAAGGTATTTGCTACAATGGTGGGAAGAGGGGTCACATGTCTAGGGATTGTTGGTCAAGGAAAAAGTCTGTCGAAAGTAATGTGACAACCTCCAAAAAAGAGATGGAGGATGAATGAGATGTAGAGACACTATGTTCCATAAAAAAAGATAAGCTAGCACTCATGACGATGATGAGAGAGCATTTCAGTTACGAAGATAACTGGATCATTGATTCAGAATGTTCAAACCACCTGGCTGATGATCAGAGTGATGTAATGGAAGTAGGGTGGTTCTTAGAGAAGGAAGTATTACAAGACTTACAACATTGAAAAAATTCTTCCACAAAAGATGGGAGAGCAAACTGTACATATTTGCTGAAGTGTTGATGTGCCAAAAGATCCAAGTGACATTGATGTTGGTAGACAAGAAGTGACTCAACCAAACGAACCTAGTGAAAATGAAATGACACCTCAACAACTTAGACCGTCAGAAAGAATCCAAAAGTCAAATCCAAAGTATGTCAATACAGCTATTACAGAAGACGAAGTTGAAGAGCCAGAGACTTGTGAAGAAGCATCACAAAATGTTGCTTGGCAGAAGGCAATGGTGGATGAATTTATGGCCTTGGAACAAAATTAAATATGTGAAGTAGTGTCAAGACTAGAAGATGTCAAATCCATCTTTTGCAAGTGGATTTACAAAAAAGCATCCCCAAGATGAATTGATCGATAGATACAAAACTCAACTTGTAGTTCAAGAGTTTTCTCAACAATATGGACTAGACTATGATGAAACATTTAATCTAACAGTGAAAATCACTATCGTACATGTTTCTCCAGCACTTGCAACAAGTAAAAATTAAAAATTATGGCAGATGGATGCGAAGAATGATTTCTTGCATGGAGAATGGGACCGGGAGATCTACATGAACCAACTAAAGAGATTTGAAAATGGAGTTGAAGTCGTTAGTCATTACATGCAAAGTTCGAAGAAGCCTCATTTGGATGCAACTTGACAAATCCTACCACATGTCAAAGGTACAATCGACTATGGTTTTTTGTATAAAAGAAGTA